CTCACAGCGTAACCATTGACAGCAGCGATGACTGGCTTCTTGACCCGGGCGAGATGGTCCCAGTGGCTCAAGAACCCAGTGGAGTAACAGTCCTGGAATCGCTGGTTCTGCATCTCCTTGATGTCGGCTCCAGCTGGTGGAAGTGAGGCCACAGTTACCAGAGTGCAGAGACCCCAAGAGGCAGCTACGGAGTGTCCCCTGTGAGCAGGCACTGGGGCCCCTGGGGAGACCTGGCTTGCGCAGTGATGGACAGCGGCAAATCGCTGTGATACAGGAGGGGAGCCGGGACGAGAAACAGACTCAAGGTGGACTCAGAGAAGGCTGGGCATATTCATTGGTCACTTGAGCCCTCAACACACGACACCTGACTATGGAGGACCGGAATAAAGGTACTCTGTCTGCTGGCAGAGCACACCTGAGTGTTAAACATACCGAGCAGCTCAGCCAAGCAGTTCCCCAGCCCATTTCCATTTTACATGTAAATCAACCCAAGTTGTCTGAGGTTTTCTGACTCTACCTCAGAGGTGTAAGTCTGCCTGCAACACCGCACCATGGGCATGATCACGGTCAGACCCCGCCTCGTACACCTGGGTGACCTGCCACCACGCTGCCCACCGCACCTGCAAATGCCTTCTCCCCGCCCGTGAGGACGATGGCCCCCACGGCTGGGTCCTTCTCGAAGGCCTCCAGCGCCTGGTTGAGCTCCTTGATCAGGCCATCGCAGAGCGCGTTGAGTGCTTTGGGGCGGTTCAGTCGGATCAGCCCCACGCTTTGGTTCTTCCCCTTCTTTTCTGTGACGATGTACTCAAAGTTAGCCCCTGGGACAAAGAGAAGAAAGGAGACTTTTATTTATATAGTGTGGGGAGCGGCTATAGGGTCAAGCCTCAGACTGACCTGTGGCAGAGCCACATACAAGTCCCAGCTTGGAGGGCAGAGCCCTCCTAGCACAATTACTAGTAAGCTTGACCTTATCGTCCTCCCTTGTTCCTAGGTAGCTAATGGGCTGTGGGGGGTGCAGAAACAAGGCTTGAGTAAGGAAATAGTCGTGAAACTCCCCTTGCTTTGCTTTGTGTGCTCTGACTATAAAATAAAGCTTCAGCTTACAGGCTGTCACTGTTTCCTCATCCAGGCAGTGGTCCACCTGGCCCCAACTGGAGTCTCTTGTCAGTCTTCTCTAATCCTTCAGCCCGCCCCTCCTCAGGTTCACCCCTGGCTGTGCTGGATGGAGGTTCAATACAGGCCTCAAACTGGGAGGATGTGTCCCCGTCAGTGGACAGTGACCTGGACAGACTTGAGGGACCCCTGACCGTCCCTGGTGGCTGCAGCACCCAGCTCTCAGCCACACGGGTGGCCGTCCCACCACTCTGCTTCCACTGATGTTTGAATCTTAAGTTAAAACAACAACAAAAACCCAGCAATGAACAGCCCGCAGCAGGCTTCCTTCTGAAGGCCTCCGTCAGCACAAGAGACTTGTGATTCCGCAGAAACAAGGGAGGAGGAATCCGTGTTTTCAACCAATGCCAACTAGGTGACGGGACTTGGGCTGTGAACTGGACAGAGCTCTGGCCTTGGTGAGTGGACCCTCTGGTGCGGGGGAACGCAGAGGCACGGGTGACTTCCACCCCAAAACTGTCCGCCCAGACGTGGGGGTCAGCATTGACCTGGAGAGGAAGAGGGTTGACCTGAGGCGGCAAAGGCGTGAGTGTGTGTGTCTGCACGTTGGAGTGGCCGCTTTCGTCAACGGTAACACGGGATCACAGTCCCTGCCCCGGGGGCTTACTGGGGAGAAACTGGAATAACAGGTCACCTGTCGGGGGACCTGGAAACGGTTGCTGATTACAGCCAGGGTGCAGGAGGGTCAAGGAGAACTCAGGGTAACGCCGACACGACTTGGTACTTGGGTTGTGAACTGGATACAGGAATGAAGGGAAAGGACCGGGCAGGACCGAACGCGCGACCACTGCGATGCCCGCGGTGCTCCCTGCACAGCCCCTTAGAGTCAAGGCAAACCCGCGAACTCCCACATCCGGCTCCAAACACAACGTGGCCCCGACCGATCCCCAGGGCTCAGCGAGCTCGGCGCGGCGGCCCC